CCTCCGCCGCCCCCCCCCCCCAGCTTCTAGCCTGAGCCACTGCAGGCATATGCCTCAATTTCCTCAGTCCAGAGAGAACATCTATTTAGTTTCAAACCAGTTCAGCCTAGCCAGGTTAGGCTAACCTGCAAAGATTGAATCAATTCAGGCTCAGGCTTTTTGAATGTCTGTTCTTAGGCCTAAAGGTTTGTATGGCTAGCTTGCAATGCCAAAAAACTTTACAACATGGCAAGTGGAGAAGGTGGTTGTTTTTTTTTCCCCTAGGAGATTTCTGTATGTTTATAAAATCACCCTAGTTTTGGAGGGGTAATTGATTCAACCTTTGACTGCAAGGATAACTGATCATTGACCTTAGAGCAACCAAACCATCAAAGAGGTCATTCCCTTTCAAAATGAATGACCTTCTTCAGAAGGCAGAAGCAATTAGCTTAATTCCATGAAGCAGAATAAGGTAGAAGTATCACTTGTCTAAATTTAAAAACTAGTTTTCTCTGTTAGGGCATGGAAAAATGTATACTTAGTGTGACTTCAAAGAACGAGGGTGAACTGCGGATTGGGAGTGTGCAACAGCTGTCGTGTTCTAACAGTTCCATGTACACGAACTAGGAGCGATACAAATGTGGAATGTGGAGAACTCCAACTTTCACTTTGAATGACACTGGATTAAAAACTGTGTTGTTACATTTGCATTGCTTCTAGCTTGTGTATGCATAACTGTTAGAACAGTTGTACTCAACCTTTTTGGCTCATGGGACAGATGGGCAGTGTCCTGTCTGTGTGTGGGCTGGATCCAGCTGGTGGTCCTGATTTGGCACCTGAGGCAGTCACAGTGGGACCCCATCTGGTCATGAAGAGGAGCTGTGGGGAGGTGACATGGGCTGGTCCTGAACCAGTTGTGGGGAGGGAAGGGGCATGGCCTAGCCCCAGGCTAGCTGCAGAGGTAGGAAACATGGCAGAGAGGTGCCTGACCCAGCTCCAACCTGCTACTCCAGGCTTGGGGTTCAGGGTTTTTAGAGTATGACAGGGAAGAGGGTGGAAAAATTTGGCATTGGGGAGTGATCATGGCAGCCGTGATTTTTAGGGTTTGGGGGTTTCACCCCCCCAGACCTTGGGGATCATAGCTGTCATGGTCCCTAGGGTCTGGAGAAACCTCTAGACCAAGAGGATCACTGCAGGGGGGTGTATTGCACCTTCTGGGGTGGAAGAAGGCTGGGATCAGGCTCCCCCCTGCACTCACAAGAAGGCGCGATAGGATCTAATGCATAATCCCATAATTGCACCTCCTGCCATGCATGTGTGGCATGGCACAAGGTGTGATTGTGTTAATCATGCATTAGATCCCATTGTGCCATTACTTGAACATGTAGAGGGTGTCTGAAGGCAATGGGAGTTGTACTGCTAACTGTAGTCAAGGCATGACAGTCAAGGCATGACTACCAACATTTTGAAAGGCTTCACACACTACCCACTATGGGAATTTACTAATACCTATCAAGCAGAGATGGATATTTCCCCATACTTGAATTAGCAAAGGCTACAGTCTTAATTCCTCCAGTTTTACATAAATGCAGGCTTTGTAATATTTGTCATTTTTTTTTTACCTGTTAGAATTCACGTTTAGCCTCCAAGCTCACATACCTTAAATAGTGATATTAGTTCCTCAGTAGACATACCACTAATCTGTTCCTGTGACAGCTTACTGTCTGGCAAAAAATACAGCAAAACCTCTCTAAAAAAAAAATTCAACAAAAAATGCTATATGTCTTTGTAAAGGTTCTGAAAAGACCACAGTTAACTCCAGAAAGTGAATTATATTCACAACCACAGATTGAAGTCCAG